TTCCTTTAACTCTCAGAAAGTGAGTTTCCTTTCCACTATGTTCATGAGTATATAACCACTGGTTCTCCAATTTGGGGAGCAACAAGCTGCCCTGTGACTTCAGTACTAGGATGGTCTGTCCAGCCTTTTGCTTTTTCTTCTGGAGACATCTATGCTCTTCACATGCCTGACTGGTACCCAGAAATCCTGAATTTTTCATCACCCTTGTAAACAGACATTATACCTATTTGTTAGAGATCAATGGTTTGGGGAATCTGCATCTGCATGTGATATAATCATGGAAAAGGTAACATGGCCATCACAAATGTTAGCCTTCAGAAGGGCCAAAATGAAAAAGTATGCAAACATAAAACAGCTTTGGCCTGGCACAATGGCCTAGTGGCTAAATCCTCACCTTACATCCACCAGGAACCCATATGGATGCTGGTTTGTGTCTTGGCTTCTCCACTTCCCATGTAGCTCCCTGCTTGGAGGCTGAGAAAGCAGTAGAGGATGGCCCAAAGCCTTGGGACCCTGAACCCATGTGGGAGACCCAGAAGAAGCTTCTGGCTCCTAGCTTCAGATTGGCTCAGCTCTAGCCATTGCAGGCACTTGGAGAGTGATTCAGCAGATAGAAGAGCTTTCTGTCTCTCCTAATCTCTGAACATCTGCCTTTCCAATAAAAAAATTTAAAATGTTAAACAATATTTTATTTTTATGTTATTTTTATTATAAAAAATAGCCTACAATTAATTCCTTGACAAACTCAACACTCGTAATGCCAAGTTTCCCCAAGATATTTTTTCCCCTCACAGATATCATTTTAGATCTTGCTGTTGCTGCTGTCATTGTCATTCAGAAAGAGCATTACTCAGCTTTTCACTACTGGGCAGGCCAGGTATGGAGCCTCCCGAGCACAGAGGCAGACGGGCTGAGTCCCGCACACTATATGAGGGCAGGACCTCAGGCTGGCTTCGCTCTTGTTCACATTCCTCTTCCCTTTGCAGAAATGGAAAATGTTATTCCTAAATGTGTCCATTTGGACTGGTGGAAGACCTCAGGACTTCTGGGGGCTGAGTACTTACACGAAGGTTTGCCCTCCATTGCTTCTCTGCTCATTTTCAGTTAAATTTGCAGCACCAGAGGAAATGAGAGAACCCCAGAAACGACAACAACCTCCATGTCAAGCTGCTTCCTTCCCAAAACACTCCAACTGACTCCCAGTAGACAAGACTTGTCTGTCTTCCAGCTAACTGATGGGATCCCCAACTTTTCTGCTAAACACTCTGTTATTCATTAGGGATGGGGGGTAAGAAGCATAATATTATTAGCAAGACTAGCCTTTAAAAAAGACTGAGTAAGTAGCCTCGTGGTGTTATTTTAGTGACAATGGGAAGGGGTGATCTGCCAAAAATACATCTACAGCCTGTTCTTTCTCTGAAGCTTGAAGACATTTAATGAGTACTTCGCCTTCTCTTTCAGAATTAGAGATAAAGATGATAAATCAGATGCACTTGAGATGGAGACGTGAACTCCCACAGTACTGTCTCACATCTGAGTAAGAGAAGTTATCTATTGGAGTGTGTCTGCCTACCCCTGCAAGGACTGTGAATTCCTTGAGTGCAATGACAATGCCTCACTCATCTCTGACTTTCAGGATTTTTACCAGTGCCTGGTAGAAAACAAAGAGCCAAAAAGGGCAAAACAAATTTACTTAACAAATGATAAAATGCATACTTGCTAATAAATAATAAAATGTATATGTACCAATGAATGGTAAAAAGTATATGTACCATGAGGTCTAAAGGACTAAGCACAAAGGGTTTTTTCAGGCACAGGGTTGAAGGGAAAAAATTAAAGAAGCAAATAAAAACAACACTATCAGAGCCCCCAATGAGGTAGAGGGGTAACATAGCAAGAATCACAACTACAGAATGCCCACTATTAGAGATTGTCGTCTTTCCATGAGTTGGACTTAATTTTCGTGTACTTTTCAAGGCACAATTTCTGTGTTGTTTGGTTTAAGGAAAAAGTAAAACCACTGTCTACATGTTTCATTTCTAAAGAAGCCAGAAAGGCCTAGCTGAGTTTGCCCCCAAGGATCAGGCTTTGCTGCTCCTTTCAAAAATTACTTCTCACTGCAGGAAGTGATTTGTGAGCAGTCTGAGAAGAGACGAACATCAAAGTCCAACCTTGTACAAAATGAAATGTTGTCCAAAGTCCAGATCTGTATGGGGAAAATTAAAAACCCTAGCTTGGCTGGTTCATTTTTACCTTCTATCTTTAGAACAAGATGCTTTTTACACAAATGGTTTGGTCGTAATAATCAAGTAGGCTTATGATGTTTTTATCCAAACAAACAAAAAACCCACAAGCAATCCATTATATTTTCAGCCTTTGAAAGTAGCCAAATAATGCACTCATTTTGCAAATACAAATCACGTGACAGACTCTGGGCTTGGCGCTGCCTGTTTAACAGTGAGGAAGGACAGAGTCACATCAGACTGTCTTGTCCCATTTGTGACTCCCAATATGTCTGTGAGTTTGTTCCTTCCAGAGCTTGTGCAGAACGATGAGGTGTGGGGCCGCTACCACGACATAGTACCTTAATCCTCTGCTTGCGATGCCTGTGTCCCATACGTGTGCTGGATCAAGTTCTGGGTGCTCTGCGTCCTATACAGCTCCCTGCTAATCTCCTGGGAAAGCAATGGAGGGAAACTCATAGTCCTTTGGCTCTGCATCTTCATGAAAGATACAGAAGCTGCCCCTCCCCTCGGCTTCAAATTGCCCCAGTCTGGCCATTACAGCCATTTGAGGAGTGAACCACCAAATGGAAGGTCTCGTTTTCTCTCTTTTTCTGTTTCTCCTTCTCTGTCTGTAACTTTGCCTTTCAAATAAAAACAAATATATTTCAAAAAGAGAAGGGTGGGGTGTAGATAGAATAAGTGCACATTATTTGTTAATAAAAATTAGTGTTATTGACTCAGGTGTTTTACCAAAATAGCTTCCACAAATCTCTTGTGTCAGTAGGAATCAGTCTTGGTCAGGAGGACCATTGAGTCTGAGACCAATTGCTTTATTGGTGGATAATGCAGCTCACAGTGGTTGGATGACTTGCCCAAGATCATACATATAAGCTGGAGATGGGAGTCAAATTCAGATCTATTCAGTTCTAGATTCTAACCCAGAGGGGAAAGTATAAATTCAGCTAGACTATTTAACGCATGATATTGAAATTAACTGTTAGCAGTTTAGTGTGAACTAACTTATTATTTCATGATCTCTTGAAGTTAAATAAGAGTAGAACATATCCAATTTGACATTCTAAGTCTTCAATCTACTTTAAGCCACCTATCATATGAAAGACATGATTACAAAATTTATACTTGCACACGGTTGCTTGATATACGGCTTACTGTGTTTTTCTACTCAGAGCTATTGTATTGTAACAGGAGACACACTCCAAGCAAAGAAAGCATGTTTAGATCTAGAGGTCTCTTTCAACACTGGTTATATTATTACATTCATATGCAAGCATAGAAGCACATTGTAAAGTTTCTCTATAATTACCTGAATTATCTGCAAACAGTATTATAGATCAAAATCTTGGAACACTGCTATTGGTGTGATGTTTTAGAGCTATCCCTAATCTTTATATGGGGAAAATTTCTTGAGTACTTGCTATATGCGAGGCATTTTTAGTGGCGTATTTCATCTGATGCTGCTAAACCAATATTGTAATTTAAACACTTTTGCAGATGCCTTAATTGAGAATTAGGAAGGGTCAATAATTTGTTCAAAATATCACAGCTAATAAATATACAAACCAAAATTGTGCACTTTAGCATATGTAATTGGTGTCCCAGAAAATAGCTTTCTCTCATCTTTTTTCTCCTAACATATCCCAACAGTGTTCTGGAACAAATATGTCCAGATCTAGAGTATAAACACTCCATAATTTAATCTAGCAATGAGAACCTTGCACCTCTTTGTTAGTGGCTAGAAATCCATTGGAGCTTCAGAGAAAGGCACAGAACAAGGTTGTTTCAGTACTACTATTGTTCTCTTATATCCTGTTTTGACTGTTATAATGTAAGAAAGAGAAAAATGCATCTGATATGTGCAATTACGGTAGCTTTTTTTCAAACCATAAGAAAAGATAGCACTGACTCACTAAAGAAAGTGATGTGGAAGATCAAAGCAGCCTGACTCCTTAAGGCCACACTGGCCATTCCAGATCAGCTGTACAACAGTTTCCTTCTCGAATACCCTGTGGTTCAGCTGCCATTAGTGAGGTATTTTGTTCTTTGAAATCAAAAATATTATTAGCAACATTCAAAACTGAATATATGTTGACTCAAATGGTGTACAAACTGATTGCTTTTTGAAAGCAAGACAATAACCTGTAAGTTGAGTCTTTCTGAAAGAAGGACACAAGATAGAGTGACCTGGGGCTGAGTCTTGAAGGATCTAAAGGTGGAGAGGAAAGGGGAGCATATTTTAGGCCAGAGCTATGTTCCTCCTCTTCACTGCTACAGCTCCAATTCCTTGCACAATTCACAGCACATTGCAAAAACCTGCTGATTTAGATAGAGTTTGAGTGTCCCTCAAGGCTTCACATGTTGAAATTTCATGCCCATTAAGAGTTATGCAAAGGAAGAAAACTTAACCTGCCTGAAGTATTTAGAGAGTGAGCCTATGGGAAGTGACTAGGACCAGATTGGATAAAGTCTCTCTGGTGAAGTCCAATGAGTTTATCCCGGTGGCTTTATATGCAATGAATACTCTCATTCTGTGAAAAGAGTCAAAACTATACTTCTCAAAGAATAGCATCAAAATGCATTGATAGTAAAACAAGAAATTCTTAAATCAAGACCTGCACATTGGGAGTAATAATGCCTATACCACTTGGTGAACTATGCATGGTCTATTAGGCAGTTAAATTCAACAAGAGTAAGTACATGCTAATATAGAACCAATTTCAAGCATCACTAACAGGGGCTTAGATTTTGACTTATTACCAGCCCCTTCTTACAACCCTTAGGCAAAAATATTCTTTCCTTATTCCAGTCCTTGTTCTGTTTTATGCCGTCTTCGTCCATGTTCTATGCACTGGTTTGCTTACGTTAGGCTAATACATAAATTTTAGCAATTCTCTATCTTTGTGCACATAATCATTCAAAATTCAAACTCCCAAAGCAGTTGGTTCCCAACCATGACTGATTTTCAAATATAGCAAACCATTAAATCTGGGTACTGAGGCCTGAACTGTGTTTTTTTTTTTTTTATTGCAACCCAAAAGATACAGCAAGGTTTAGGAATCACTGATCTAAGTACAATTTTCATCAAATGTGCTTCTACAGCTTTTGATTTCTATTTACCAGTACAATGATTTTGATTAGTGTTCAAAGAACTAAAAGTGATGAAACTCTTCCAACACATACTCTATTCAATATGTTATCTCCAAAATGCAATCTACTTTGCTGCCTGGAAATATTTTCTTTGATACAGCAGTCTTGCTTAAAAATTTGTTTTATTTGTATTTGAAATTTTATTTTTATTTCAAAGGCAGAATTAAACAAAGAAAAGACAAGATAGGGAGGGAAAGAGATATTTTATCTATTGATTCACTCCCCAAATGACAGCAATTGCCAGAGCTGAGCTGATTGGAAGCTGGAAGCCAGGAACTTCCTTACATGGATGTCAAGACCAAAGAACATGGGCCACCTTCACTGCTTTCTCAGGCACATGATCAAGCAGCAGAGTTGGAAGTAAAACAACTGATACAGAAACTGGTGCCCATATGGAATGCCAGTGCCACGGCTAGATGATTAGCTTGCTATGCCACCACTCTGGCCCCAAGGAAATATATAGTCTTATTTCTGTGCAGTTGGGGGGGGGGGGAGACTTCTCTGGTCAACATTTCCCAAACTACAGTCTCAGTATCCTCAGAAGGATCATCCACCAGCATGTCTCAAACTATTGCCCATGTGGAATGATAGCATGGCACCCAGCAGCTTAATTTATTATGCCATAGTGCAGCCTCTGTGCAATGTTTTAAAAAGATTTATTTGAAAAGCCGAGTTAGAGATGAAATGAAGGATAGACAAGGAGAGATAGAGACAGAGGAGGAGAGAAAGAAAAATCTTTCATCTGCTGGTTCAGTCCTTAAATAGCCTCAATGGCCAGGGCTGGGCCAGACTAAATGCAGGAGTTGGCACCCCATCCAGCTATTCCACGAGGGGACAGGGGCCCAACCACTTGAGTCATCTTATGCTGTGCTCCCAGGAGCACTGGCCACTGGCTGTTTGGAAAGGAAGCAGACAGAACCAAAACTGGCATTATTTATACAGAATGCCAGCATTGGAGACAAGAGCTTAACCCATGGTACTATAACACCAGCCCCTGTAAACCCTTTTTTAATAAGTTCAATGAGTATACTCTAAAGTAAGAATAAAACAAGTAGTATAATAAGTGCATAAATCAGTAAAATAAGTGCTTATTATCACTATCAAGTATTCTACATTATAGGCAGTTATACATACTGCACTATTATATGAGCAGCAGCACAGTAGACATATCTGCAACAGCATCGCAATATAATTAATTACTGAACTATGATGCTGTGGTGAAAGTTACAATCTCACTAGAAAGTAGTTTCTCAGCTTCAAAATGGTATTATGGGGCCACTACTGTATATTGTGACCTGTCATTGACCAAAATGTTGTTTCGAGGTGCTTGACTGTACATGTCACATCTTATTTCCCTTTTTTCGTTAAAAGATTTATTTATTTTTTTTATTGGAAAGTCAGATATACAGAGAGGAGGAGAGACAGAGAGGAAGATCTTCCATCCATTGATTCATTTCCCAAGTGGTCTTGACAGCCAGAGCTGGGCCCACCCAAAGCCAGGAGCCACGAGCCTCTTCCAGGTCTCCCATGTGGGTGCAGGGTCCCAAGGCTTTGAGCCATCTTTGTTTTTCCAGGCCACAAGGAGGGAGCTGGATGGGAAGCAGGGTTGCAAGGATCAGAACCGGCACCCATATGAGATCCTGGCATGTGCAAGAGGAGGACTTTAGCTGCTAGGTTACCGTGCCAGATCTTTATTTTCCACTTTTGAAGATTGATTTATTTGAAAGAGAGAGAGAAAGGCAGAGAGAAGGGAAACAGAGAAACTTTCATTTGCTTTACGAATTACTTCTCAAATGCCTGTGACAGCTAAGTCTGGGCCATGCTGAAGCCGGAGGCCTGAAACGCCATCTGGGTTTCCCATGTGGGTGGCAAAGCCATAAGCACTTGCAACAAATTTGGCTGCTTCCCCAGGCAGAGTAAGAGGGCAATGAATAAAGAAGCAGAGCAGCCATGACTTCAACCAGTACTTTAATATAGGAGACCAATGTTGCAGGCCACAGCTTAACGTGCTACAATACAATACAGGCTCCAGATACATTTGGTTTTTTGAACCATTCTGTTTTCATCTGGTGATGGCTATTTAGATTGCTTCAAAAAATTCCCAATTGTGGATAGTGCTATAATGAATGTGTAAGTACAAAGGCCAGCAAGGTGGCATGGCAACCTAATTCTCAGTCTGTAGTGCTAGCACCTCAAATGGACACTGATTTGAGTCCTGGCTACTCCATATCCAATCCAGCTCTCTGTTCATGGCCTGGGAAAGCAGTGGAGAATAGCTGAAATTCTTGGTTTCCAGCAAACATGGAAGAGCCAGAAGAAGCCATTCCCAAATTAATTTTAAATATATAATCTTTTTTCTCTTGGAATATTTATTTACATTTCAGAGAAAAATATAATGCCAAAATCCACAGTTCAGGAGACAGTCGTAAGAGGATGCCTTGGCTTGGGACAGGAAAAATAACAAATTATAGAATGAGTGCTATCTCAAAAGATATTCTCCCAACATGTTTGATATTTTCTTTCCTGTTAGATGTCCTAGCCTCATAAAGTGTACAATCTTTTAGGGTAGACAGAATTTATTCACATTTAATAGAACAATAAAAGTATTCACTCAAGGCTTAACTATGAGTTATAAATACATTCTTCCTGACAATTAAACAACAGGGGCAGTGTGGTGGCTCAACAGAATAATCCTCTACCTACCAATATGCCATATGAGTACCATTTTGTGTCCCAGCTGCTTCACTTGACATGCAGCTCGCTGCTTATGATTTGAGAAAGCAGCAGACGGCCCATGTCCTTGGGACCGTACACCCGCATGGGAAACCCAGTGGAGACTCCTCGCTCCTGGCTTCGGATCAGCTCAGTTCTAGCACTTGCATCCATTTGTAGAGAGAACCAACAGATGAAAGATCTTTCTGTCTGTTCTCTCTGTCAATTTGCCTTTCCAAGAAAAATAAACATTTATGAAATAATTAAACAGTTTGCATTCAAAACACTTTTGTATTGATCTCATTTAACAGCTCTGAATTTTCTGTGGTTTTCAGGAGACATCAAGACAGGTGATCCTTATGATCCAAGTATCCATTATTCAAGCCATGGAAATTAAGAGGATGTGAAGCAGAGCCAAAGTCATTACAACACAAATTGTTCACAAATGAACTGACCACAGGAAATCTATTCTCTATTTAAACACTTCTTCCTGCCTCCCTGAACCCATCTCAGGAAGAGTCTCTGGACAACATAATAGAAATCAACTTCAAGGTGCAATTTCAAATAAAAATAGATCTTTACTATTTTAGAGACTGCTGCTGTAAATATAGTATTCCAGATCCCTTTTTCATATGCAGATTTCATCTCCTTTGGGAAAGATCTTTCTCTTTGTCTCTCCTTCTCTCTGTAAATCTGCCTTTCCAAATAATAATAATAATAATAAGTAAATAAATCTTGAAAAAAATACAAGTCCTTTGGAGTCAACAATGTGGCATAGTATGTTAAGTTTCAGCCCACAAAATCAGCATCCTATATAGGCACCGTTAAAGTCCCAAATACTTCATTTTCCATCCAGTTCCCAGCTACTATTCCTGATAGACCATCAGAAGGTGGTTCATGCATCACAATGGGAGGCCCAGATGAAGATCCAGGATGGCGGCTTTGGCTGGGCCCAGTGCTGGCCATTGTAGCCATTTAGGCAATGAAGCATCAGATGAAAGATTTTCTTTCTCGCTCTCCTTCTCTCTCTCTCTCTCTCCAGATCTGCCTTTCATACAAATAAGCAAAACTTAAAAAGAGAGATGTCACTGAGAAAATTGCAGCAAGTCCTGAATTTTTCAGCCGTTCAAAATGTTTTCTCCTAAAAATAGCACAAAGTAATCTGTTTTCCCTTGATTGAAAGAACATTTGATGAAATTGGACTTTGTTTTCATGATTTAAATTTCTGTTTTATGAAAATTGCAGTACATTGTCACTATTCAGTTTTGATTGTTACAGCTACCATTATGAGTCAAACAGAACACTCCTTCATTCTGCTTGGAAAGTTAACCAAAAACATTGTATCTTCTCAACTCTTTGGGAAAAGAATGCCTGCACTCAGAAGCCTCTTGCTTTACTTCAATTTAAAAATATTCTAGATGGTTGCAGGTGCCAAAAATATGAGCTCAAAATCAGCAGTGTAGAATTTCACTTCCTCTATCTCCTCTTCCAAATGGCAGAGTACTGGGCATTTACTGGTGGTTCAAACCCATGATGATTGGATTCATTGGAATCCCTTCCTTCAAGATTTATAATCAAGGAAGTTGAGCCACTTTGACTTCCCAAGCATAAAAAGGAAGCTCCAGAAAGAGTTATAGCAGGATACTTGCTCAACAAATGAAGGAGAGTTTGGTAGGGAGGCTCTTCCTTGAGATGTAGACATTGTGAGGATTTTGTGGATGCCATGACCTGTCAGTGTGGCAACAGTAATTCCTGGGCAATAGTTTGAGGATGTAAATGGGTCTGAGACCAAAGCATATAATTTCTGCATTAAGATGAGGTGTGTACAGACATGATCTGACTTGGAAAGAACCTGTAAGTGAAAACATCCTATCTTATCCAGAACAGTCCTATTTTTATAGATATTTAGATGTACTGTTATTGAACTGAATACTGTATAATTTATAAAGTCAAACAAATATATTCATATTTTTTAAGAT